GGATCCCAGACACGGACTGGCCAGGTCCAGTCTACCCCTTTGCCTGTGGCTGGTGCCTGGATGAGTCAACCAACTAATCCACAAACCGGGAAAGGGAAACAAGGACCAACGGATTCAGATCTGTGGACAGAAAGCCATACAGAACGTTTTACTTACTTCAAAGGCATAGTTTGTTTGTTTTTAATTGGAAAGTCAGATTTACAGAGAGAAGCAGAAAGATCTTCCGTTCACGGTTCACTCCCCAAGTGTCCACAACGGCTGCAACTGAGTCCATCTGAAGCCAGAAACCAGGAGACCCTTGTTTCAGGTCTCCCACGGGGTGCAGTGTCCCAAGCAGGGAGCTGGGAGACCCGGAAGAGGCTTGAGGCTTGAGGGTCCTAGCTTTGGACAGCTCAGCTCTTGTCACAGCCATCTGGGGAGTGAATAGAAGACTGCTCTCCATCTCTGTGGAAATCTGCCTTTCATACAAAAATAAAACCCTTTTTTTTTTTAAAGCACTGACTAATATGGAGTCCATATTAAAATAATGTGAAAGGAAATTCCTCCTTACAGTGGAGTGTCAATCCGTATGGAAGGAAACACCCATGGATATCATACTTGGTGAATAAAAGCTTGAAGAGGCATAGATTTGTAATGTACCAAAGAGTTCCCTCTTGCTGTCCCAATTAAAGGAGAGACAGTGACTTCCCAGTGGGGAAAGCCAGTGGCCAACACCTTAGCCAGATGGTGTTGTTGTCACCAATTTCCTGGGGTCGCAAAAGCTTCTTCAGATTGAAGATACATCACCACTAGTGACCCGGATCTAATGGAGAGAAAATGTACAAACTTAAGTTTGAGGCAGATTATACAAAATAGCCAACCTGCATACTTCAATTTTAGTTCCAACAAAGACTAACATGATTGGAAGAGCAACTGTGGAACTATCAGGGAAGGGGAAGAAAGAGCTATCCAACGACACTAATGGACAACTGGACAATCTGAATAGACTCTGAACTAGATGAGAGTGTCACTATTATTATTATTATTTGAAAGGCAGAGTTAGAGTCAGAAACTTCCATGTGCTGATTCACTCCCCAAATGGCCACAGTGGCCAGGGATGGGAGCAGAGCTAGGAGTCAAGAGTTTTTTCTGGGTCTCCTATGTGATTATAGGGACCCAAGGATTTGGGCCATTTTCCACTGCTTTTCCAGGCCACATTGGCAGAGAGCTGGATCAGAAATGAAGCAGCCAGCACTCAGACTGGTGTCTAAATGGGATGCTGGTATCACAGGCAGTGGCTTTCCCTGCTATATCACAACACTGGCTCCAAACTTCCTAATACTGACCATTATGCTGTTTGTAAGGAAGCATCCTCATTTTGGGGGAAATGCAGACTTAACTATGTATGTATGTATGTATCCAAGCTATCTAACTTCCCAAATTACTCAGAAAGGGAAAAAAAATAAACATTTGTTAACTTACAGATTTTTTTGGTGGCTTAAAAAATTCAAAACAAAAAGCTGTTGAATACACAGATTATAAATGTGCAATCTCAACAATTTCATCTTTTTGTGAAAAAAAGATTGGAAAGGTTGAGTAAACAGATCGACCAACCGATCTGTTTGCTGGCTCACTCTCCAAGCAGCCAGGCTGAGATGAGGAGCCAGCAATGCCAACCTGGGTGCCCAAATGGCAGCCGGGGCTCAATTCCTGGGGCATCTTCCATGTCGGTCAGATCAGAAGCAGAGCAGCCAGGGCCTGTCAAACACCCCTATTCTAGATGCCAGCACTGTGAGCAACACCTTGGCTTGCCATGCCACAATGCTGGCCCAGGCACATTTTTTTACACCCTTCAGCATGGTATGTTTAAAAGTCTGCAAATGTCAAATGCTGACAAAGAAGTGACATAAATGAAAAATGCATTTAACCACGTGGCAAACCAATGACCTTGTTTGATAGTCAGCCCTGCAACTCTGCTCCAGTACATCAGAACCAAGAGCCTGTACTCTACAGTTTTCCCAAAATAATGTTATTCAACACGTTGTAAACTTGAAGTGAGGCCTTGAAGAACACAGGTGAAGTTGTATTCATTCATGAGGCAGCCGCAGATAAATGGATTTCAACTACCCATAATTCAGTTGTTCCTTGGTTATCCAATACGAGGCAACTGCAAAAGATTAAAGAATTTCAGCTACCGGGCCCGGCGCGGTGGCGCAAGTGGTTAAACGTCCTCGCCTTGCACGCCCGGGATCCCATATGGGCGCCGGTTCTAATCCCGGCAGCCCCGCTTCCCTTCCAGCTCCCTGCCTGTGGCCTGGGAAAGCAGTCGAGGACGGCCCAAAGCTTTGGGACCCTGCACCCGCGTGGGAGACCCGGAAGAGGCTCCTGGCTTCGGATCGGCATAGTATCGGCCCGTTGCGCTCACTTGGGGAGTGAATCATCGGATGGAAGATCTTCCTCTCTGTATCTCCTCTCTGTATATCCGCCTTTCCAATGAAAAAAATAATAAAAATAAATCTTTAAAAAAAAAAAAAAAAAAAAAAAGAATTTCAGCTACCCATCATTTAGTTGTCTCTTGGTTATCTGTGGGTGACTGGTTCCAGGAGGCCCCAAGGATACCAAAAATCTGAGGGTGCTCAAATCTTAGACAGAATGATGTAATATTTGCATATAACTGATACACATCCTCCCATCTATTTAAATCATCTGCAGCTAACAGTGTAACTGTCCCATTAGTCGCCACACTGTCGCTCAGGCAGTGGTGACCGGGAAGTCTGTGCATCTTCAGTACATGATTGTTTTCTGTGGAAGATTCCTGGTCCCCAGCGGGGTGGGTGTGGGTGTGGCACTTCTCACATAGGGAGGGGAATCTGAGGGAAACCTACAGCAAGCCAGTCACGGGAGAGCATTCCGCATCTTCTGTCCATGAAGCTCAAACGCTAGCAGAATTAAACAATACATTGTCTAGGGACACGGGCTTATGTGCGGAGTAAACAGCAATGCACAGGTATGACAGAACACACAAGTCAGAAGGAGTTACCTGTTCCTTTAGATATGAGGGCAGCTTTTGTGTATACAGAAAAAAAGGTGGTTTTGACTTTTTAAAATTTATTTTCATTTGAAAGGCAAATATACAGAAAGAAGGACAGAATCATCTATCTGATGATTCATTCCCCAAATTGCTGCAACAGCTGGAACTGAACAGTTCTGAAGTCAGGAGCCAGCAGCCTCCTCTGGGTCTCCCACATGGATGCAGGGGTCCAAGCGCCCCCTGGTGTTTTACCAGATGCTTTAGCAGGGAGTTAAATCAGAAGTGGAGCAACTGGGACTAGAACTGGCCCCCATATGGGATGCCAACTCTACAGGTAGAGGATTAGCTTGCTAGGCCATCATGCCAGCCCCTTCATTGACTGTTTTACTGTGTTGTTATTTAGATATACTATATGTGAATATTCCACTGGAACAAATTTCATGCGTAGGAACTTCTTGTTTTGCCCAGATTACCCCTGGTAACCAGAACAGTACTAGCTGCAAACTGAGAATTTCAAATGAACATGAACCTAGGAACATATCTAATTGTTACACCAGAAAAGTAAATGGCTTGATACATCCACTAGACATAAAGACATTCAGGAAACAAGGTGAGGATACAAGTGATTTCAAATCTGCTTAGAACAAATTGTGCTTGGACAGATAAAGTGAACCCCTACTCTAACTCAGTCACCTCGATCCTGACAAATTACCATCAAGGGAAAGAGAAGCTAGCAGTGAGGGAATGGAAAGGAGCATGAATTCAGAAAGAATAGCAAAAACCGGCTCCCAGGGCCACCATGGAATTCAAGTCATCACTGAAGTGACAAAGTGGCACACTCATGCACTTCATTTTGAATGAATCTTGGGGAAGATACAAAGCCTCGTGGATTGGTGCTATGGTCTGAATGTCTTCTCCAAAGTTCACATGTTAACACTTAATGGCCAACAGGATGGTACAAACACGTGCCTAGGTCAGGAGAGCGAGCCCTTACGGATGGCAACAGGATTTCTAGCAAGCTTTGAAAAGCCCCTGTTTGCCTGTCTACTGCTAGGAGACTAAGGGGATGAGAACCAGGCTGAAGTGAGGAGCAAAACCCTCACCGGACACCGAGCTTTCTCATGACTTGACGTGAGATGTTTATCAACTCGGTTGTTTATAAGATACAGAGTCTCAGGTATTTCGTTACGGCAAAAGGGGCTATAAGCGGTGCTCGGTCCAGCCCAATGGTCTGGCTGCACCTCTGCAGAGCCAGCTTCTGCACGGACAAACATCAACACAGGATACAAGCCTCGAACGAACGCTCACCTTGACCACGCAGCTGGCCCCTGGAGATGCAGCAGGCAGGAGGGCTTTGCCAACAAGCTTGTTCTCATTCTTGAGCCATCTGGAGTGAGGCACAACGCGTGCCCACCACAGCACAATGTGACATCTTATCATGCAAAAGACAATTCTGCCTGATGGAAAGGTTGAACAATGAGCACCTCGTGGTCAGAGAAGACTGCAGTTGCCAGTGTACTTCTAGGTGCTTCTAGAATCCCCCATGGGCCACATCTATCCTCCACATCTGATTAGAGTGGTTCCCTCTGGCTGGCCGTAGCTTTCTGCTCAGGTCATGAAAGATCATTTCCCGCACACATGAAAACACTACCCTGCTATGAAATGCTGGAACAGTGGGAGATAAAAATACATACCAAAGAGCAAGGGCCTCCAGTGGGGAGGGCGCAGTGAGGACGGCTGGCACTGTGCCCATCTCGGCCTGCAGGGCAGCCCTCACTCAGCATGGGTGTGCCTAGGGGCCAGGCCTACTCGGGCCCCATGCCACAGGGAGAACAGGGGAAGCTCAGGCAGGAGCTAGGGCAGGAAGGGCCGGAGGAGCTAGGGCCTCCTACCTAGTGCAAACCAGATGGGCTTCCTCAAAGCAGGTCAGAGTTGATCTCTGTAGACGGTGGAATTCTCAAGCACCTGCCATCGCCATCCAGGCAAAGCAAAGTTTTCAAACATTTTATTACAAAACAGAACAATGCAACGTAAGCGTAAAAGCTTACACGTTACTATTTACATTATTTCAAAATATATTACAATTTTAACTTGTGAACAGAAATATCTTGTCTTTTTTTCTTTTTCTTTTCTGTTTTCTTTGCATCATTGATTTCCATTTTTACTTGATCTTGTAATTTAGAAAAGAATGCTTGAGATGACTTTAAAGCTTTGTCTTTTCCTTCATCCTGCAATTAAAAACAAGACATGCTCATGCTATAAAAGTGTGCTTATACATAAAAAAGCCAAAGCCAACACTGGAAGTACAATAATGTGTAAAGGCATAAATATGAAAAGGAGCTCAAGTTATAGAACTGCCTTAGTGTGCAGCGAGGGGCCATGTACATGCTACACTGTCATTATGTCCCTACAGTTTAAGGGAAGAGTGGAGACAATCGCTGCAGGCCCCAGCTCATCGTTGGGACACCCTCCCAGCACGGGCTGGGAGTCGGTGTGTCCCAGGCCAGGGGACAGTCCCACGCCCAGCCCCTCCGCGTGCTCACCTTCAGCAGCGCAGCTCTGCCGGTTTTGGTCAGGTGCTTCACGGTCGCAGCAGCTCTGGCCTTGGTGTATTTCCCCGCTTGGTCCCCATCACTCTTCTCAAGCTGCTTCCTCCGCTTCTCTTTCTCTTTCAGTTTCATACGCTTCTGAAACTTCTTTTTCCTCCGTTCTCGCTTCTTGTCTGTGGCTGTTTTCTCAGCAGCTGTTTTTATGTCTCCAGCTTTATTTTTCTCCTACAAGGAAACCACCACCACCAAGGAAATTAGTCTCGTCTGGCATCATCCAGGGAACTGGAGCAAAAAGTGGCAGCCCAGGGGCTGTGTGGCCGTGTGCAACCCCCATGGGAGGCCAGGATGTAGTGTTGCTCCCACCTGTGTCCTGGTCTTTGACAGAATGGACCCCTGGAGTAACAGTTCAGCTCCCATTGCCAGACTACTGTGCCAGGGCAGTCAGCCCCTTAGAGCTGCCAGATGGTCTATTGATAAGGGTGGGTACAGCAAAGCAAGGAACAGGACCCCGCTGCTGGGCCAGCCTTGTGACCAGGGCCTGGCAGAAATCAGCACTGCTAGGAAGGCAGCAGCTTCACTGGCCTACATTTGTTTACAACTAACCTCTCCCAAGATCTAAATGCTCTGTTCCAAGCCGATTCTATGCTGCTATGTGTTACACAGATAAAAGAATAAAATATTGATATGAGAGCATTGCTGTTGTGCGAGCTATTTGTGTTTAACCTAACATCTTCTCTGCTAGTATTCAGATCGGGACAATAAGAAGAAACTCATCCTGGATACTTAAAAACTGCTTTTATAATAATTCTAATGTCAGCAGCTATTAATGCCTGCTTATATGGAATACTCTGAAATTGCTAGTTTGACTAGCCCTAAAAACTACTCCATTAACATTGGAGTAGAAACTACAGATTCAACGAAATGTTCAGAAATAAATGGAGAACTGGCTGCTGGCTAAGGTCCGATTAACATGTGAAGAGGTCTTAAGGGTCCCCTCCTGGGCCTCTTACCTTGATCTCCTCTGGGGCCAGGAGGGCTGCATCGCTAACACTCACTGGGGCCACTTCCTCCATTGTAATGGCCGGCAGGTTGGACACAACTTTGATCTCTGGTGCAGCCTGGAAAGAGACAATGTGTTCACCCAGTCAGACGCAGGGGTCAGTACCTTGGCCTGCAGAGCTGGCATCCCGCAGCGTTGGCCTGACCCCTGGCTGCTCCACTTCCAATCTGCGTCACTGAAAAGGCCTTGGAAAGAGCGGTGGAAGACAGCAGAAGTGTCTGGGTCCCTGTCACCCACATGGGAGGCTGGATGAAGCTCCTGCCTTAGCCTGGCCCAGGACTGGCTGTTCTGTTCACCTGAGGAGCGAACTAGCAGAAGAAAGATCCCTCTGTCGGCTTTCCCCCTTTTCTCAGTAACTCTGCCTTTCAAAATAAATAAATCTATAAGTTATTAACTTGGAGTCTAATACAACCAGCCTTCCATTTCCAGGGACTCCACATCTGTGGATTCAACCAATGGCAGACAGAAAACAGCAATGGGAAGAAAAACTCCTCCTGTGTTGAGCATGTGATTTTTTCCTTGTCATTACCCCCTAAACAATACAGTCGTCACTATGTACACGGCACTTACTGCACTAGCAGTTAGAAGTAATCTGGAGATAATTGGATGACCTGTGCGGATGTCACAGGCAGTATCAGCCCCCTTGGTCTAGCCATCTGTGCATTTGGGGATCTGAGGAGGAAGTCCTGGAACCGACTCTTGCACTGACCGAGGAAGTTAATAAAACATTCACTGTGCTGGCAGCCAAGGGCTAAACTAACTGCAGGGATGGCAGCAGGAGCCCATCAGAAGCCCTAGGACCCAGAGAGCTTCAGGGTTTTCTGCTGCTTCCTGCACTTGTCCGGCATGTCTGCCACACTCAACAACTCCAGTTCTTTGTTACTGAGCTATTCCCCACATCACTTAGGTAATTATTATCATCAAATAATTCTATCTCCTGTTGATGTCCAGCTTACCCATTAGGAAAAGGACAGAACACAACACCATCTGGTGGGCCTTTCTGTTTTTGTATCAGGTTTGTTTGCTTTAAACAGCTGCCTAAGCAATCAGAAATGAAAACTGGTTTCCCACTGCTCACGGTCCTGGAGTGCTCTGCTCAAGGCTCGGGGAGAACGACCCCTGGCGCTTCCTCACCAGCAGGGGACAAAGCTAAAGTGAGGCACCACGTCCCTGGCTCCTCAGCCCACTCACTCTCCTTTTCACAACCCTGTCCATAATCCAGGGAACTAGAAAGACATTTGCCTCAGGAAACTTCAAGAACAAAAGCAAGCAGCAAAAAAGTACAGGAGCCCGAATTCTCCAGGAATGTCAGAGTTCAGAAGAAATCACTCCTTCCACAGGACCGATGCTCAATTCTTGGGAACACTGAGTCCCACCCCACAGCCCAGAGTCACGGCTCATGACTGCTAAGCAGTCTTCAGAGAGAGTGAGCAAAAACAGACCTGAATATGAAAAGGCAGAATTGTGGGGAGCCTGGGCCCCAAGTGTGTATTTCTGAAGAGGATAAAAGCAAGACGTAAAGCACACAGAAAACACACACACACAAAAAAAACCAAAAACATGCATTTATGTAAACTTGAGCTCAATTTGAAAATGAGGTGGTGAACGCTTACTGCCCACTGAGTAATTAAAATAGTCATGAAGATCACCTAACCATCGACGAACCAGAAAGGCTCATGGTAATCACCTCTTCTTGTGCAGCAACTACCTAAACCATGGGGCAGCATTCAACTTGGAATTCTGACTTCTAGAATTGCATTAGCTCAGAACATTCTATTTCAGACAATACAAGAGAAAGCAAAGGGCACCGGGTGTGCCAGCACTGAAAGGATGGTCCAAGTACCATCTTAAAGCTGACAAGGTAGTGAACAGGAGACGAAGCTCGAGACGAAGCTCCTGAGGAGGCAGGTGCTGAGCCAAGTAATAGCCTAGATGACAGTCCGACAGATGAGCAGAGCACTTGAAAGGCTTGGGCCTGGCCGGGTTAGTGTCAGGAAGTGGACGGCGAGGGCCATCCCACTGCCCAAGCCCGAGCTTCCTCTCCTGAGAACGGGATGGTTTCCATCTCAGTGCCTCATGCACTAAGAGTTACCGCATGTAAGGGGCCAGGATGGCAGGCAGCAGGTACTAAGAGTTACCACACGTAAGGGGCCAGGTAGCAGGTGTGCAGTGTCTGGTAAGGATGCTGCAATTCTCCATTCCCATCATGCAACAAAAATGAAACTGAAGACTGGGGCAGGGCCGAGCAAGCGTCTGCCAGGGAACACAGGAGATCAGGCTGGATGGGTGGGTGGCGGGGGGGGGCCAGGGCCTGCCTTACACTGACAAGCAATCACCGGAGGTTTGCATCATGAAATGCAATCAACAGTTTTCTTCCAGCCAAACTGTCACCAAGGTCCCATCCACTGTCCGCACACAGACTGCTAATATACTTACCGGTTTAGGGATGAAGTGGAAGTTGGACAGAGCATCCAATTTTAGAAACAGGGAATCCATCATTTTCTGAATCTCTACGTGCTCTGGATTTTCTTCTTCTTCTGCTTTTTGCTTAGGAAATAAGTTCAACGACATCAGGCTAAGCAGCTTAGTATATATCACAGGGAAAAAACCACTGAAAGCCCAAGGGATTATTCCCCATTTTCATCACCAGCATTTTAACTACAAAGAAATATTCCAGCGACAACATGAAAAGCACTGGTGCCACAATGACACCAACCACCAAAGAAATGTGATGTACATTTTAGGACCCACAGTGACCATGACCTTGAGTGTCCTCTAAATTTTAAAACTTGCGGCTTCATCCCCTTGGTATTTACTTCTATGGAGACATAAACTGTTCTCATTAACACACCTCAAATGTGAGAGAACCAAAGGACAGGTAACAGACGTGGTTGAAGAAACGGAGGAAACGGAGCTTGTGTTACTGGTAGGATTATACAACAGTGTAGTCCTAATGATGAGGAGCTGGGCGCCTTCATGGAAAGTGACAGAATTACCACTTGACACAGAAACTCCACTCCTAGACTTACACTCAAGATTTAAAGCAGACACTGAAACAGGTTTCTCTTTGGAGCAGGTGTATGTACAGTCGTATTCACAGCAGCAAATGGCAGACAGTCCTCAAATTTGCTTTTATGCCTTCAACAGTCACTAACCCTAGCTGTGCACGTGTACCCGTTAGTCAGCACGGCCTTGCCACACGGCCTTGCCACACGGCCTTGCCACACGGCCTTGCCACAGCAGGCCCTCACCTGGTTGAGCTTGAGGTACTCCTGCTCGTAAATCTCAGCCAGGCTCAACTTGCTCTTCTCGTGGTCCAAGGTTAAGCGCTTTTTATACTCATAGGCGTCTTCTTTGGGTTTCTCTTTCCTTATGACATCATCCCAAGCCTTGAGACAGAAGGGCAAGAACATGAACTAGCTTATCTCCAGCCTCAGCTAAGAATCGTGTGCAAACTGCAACAAAGTCATCCGCACCTTCCGAAATGGCCAGTTCAATCACAAACAAGTGCCGGGAAAGCAGAGTCTATTACTCATGTGCCCTTTCCTGGTTTTTGTTTTAGATCAGTCTTTGTTCTGCTTACTAATTTTAACTCCGCATCCCTGCATCAAGTGTGTTTAAAAACCAAGACTCAAATTTACCTTGTTCCATTTCCAAATTCAAGACACTCTGTAAGTAGCACCTTCCCTGCAAACCTGTTATTATACCTGCTACATGTTTACTTTTCAATCTTACTTTTTGAAAGACTGACTTATGTATTTGAAAAGCAGAGTTACAAGAGAATCTTCCTTCCACAGTCACTCCCCAAATGGCTGCATTGGCCATCTGAAGCCAGGAACCAGGAACGTCTTACAGGTTCCCAGCACAGGAGTAGGAACTCAAGTATTTGAGTCACCCTCCACTGCCTTCCCACAGGCATTAGCTGGGAACTGGATCACAAGCAGCAGCCACATGGGATGCCAGCACTGCAGGTACACCATAGTATGGACTTATTACCCCCATCCCACAGCACCAGATCAACTCCTCAACAACTCAGACGCCGTTCTCCGTCCCCGTAGCCCTCACTACCCCTATCTTGAAGCACCAGATCAACTCCTCAACAACTCAGACACTGCTCACCATCCCATAGCCCTCACTACCTCCATCTTACAAAACCAGCAGGTCAGCAAGATGCAGAAGGAGACTGGCAACTATTTCTGGCTTTCCCCTCTCTCCAGGCACAACAGTCATTTCCCAGCTACCAGAGAAAGCAGTAACTCACCCAACAAAAGCTGAAAATATACTGTGTCTAGACTTAAGGATATTATATCTTTACATAAGATAAGAACATCATTTCATATTATATATATATATTTATCTGAAGGGCAGAGAAACATACAGAGAGAGAAACGGAGATCTTCCATCTGCTGGTTCACTGCCTAATTGTGTGACAGAACCAGGAACTCCCAAAACTCCTGGTTTCTTACAGAGATGGCAGAAGTCGAAGCACTTGAGCTATCTTCTACCTTCCAGGTTCATTAGTAGGAACCTGGACTGGAAGCGGAGCAGCTGGGGCTGAAGCCAGCACTGCAACACGGGATGCTAGTGCCACGAGCTGGGGCTGAACTTACTGTGCTACAGTGCTGGCCCTGACTTAAGGCTTTTAACACGAAGAACACAGTCAAGTGCAAATAAAGACAGCATCATCTCTACTCCCCAAATACTCCCACATTCGTTCTAAAAACTTCAGTAAAATGCAAGTCCAGTTACATTTCATTCTGACTGACCTGATCTCTTATTCTCTGCTTAATGATATCTTCCAGTTGAAGTGTGGTTTCCTCCGTGATCACAGGAGCTAAAGGAAATGTTAACATGAATGTACGGAGCACACAGACCAAGAGCCAAACAATCTACAACACTCAAGAACTTGGTGGGACGAGCAGGATTTCGGCCCAGCCCACGCCTCTGGCCCAGACAGTGGGGAAAGGGGTCAGTGCCCTGAACCTTCTGATGCCCCCTCACGTACGAGAGCACACCCGGTAATGGCAGCGAGTGCCAACACTTCCATCTCACGCACCTGAGGACTCTCCTCTCTCCCACTCTCTATTTCACAAAAATTATACAGAAACTCACTTTGACTTCAGGACACAAACATCAACAAAAATCTGACAAGCAGTTCATAATTAAATCATAGAACAGCAACAGAGTGTAAGCCTGAAAGAACTTCAGGAAATCTGCCTAGACACTAAACAGCAGGTATTATCAATATCCTTGGTATGTCACTTCTAAATGTCTTGGGCAGCTCAATGGCATTGTGGTTATTCAAGGGCATGTCCCAGTTCATACAAATCACACACACAGTATTGAGGAATGAAGTGTCACAACATTAGCAATGTACTTCAAAAAAATTCAGGGAAAAAAGGGCACATATACCCTCAGGTACGTGAGAAAGCAAACGGGGAGATGTTCCTTGCTGATGACACAGTTGTTGGCCACTCTGTTTCCAACATTGCTACACACTGAGCAGTTTCTAAAACAAAAGGTTTAGGGAAAAGAAACATTCCTCTCCTCCCCCGACTCTGTGACCCGGAGACACCAGAGTGCACAAGAGTGATGGCTGTGCAGGCACACACCCACCCAGACAGCATGGTTGAGGGCACACACCCACCCACACAGCACACACCCACCCAGACAGCATGGACAGAGGGCACACACCCACCCAGACAGCATGGACAGAGGGCACACACACCCACCCAGACAGCATGGACAGAGGACACACACCCACCCAGACAGCATGGACAGAGGACACACAGCCACCCACACAGCATGATCAAAGTGGGCACATACCCATCCGGACAGCATGGTCGAAGTGCAGGGTCTCCTCCAGCAGGCTGTTCTCAGGTCGTTTCTGTGCAGTCACTTCCCCTTGAAGTTGCCAAGGCTTTTTTTCCAACAATTCTTTTTCTAAAGATGCAATCCTTTCATTCATCTAAGAAAGACACAGTTCTAGATTTAGGAAATAAAACTGGACTTACACTTGCAGGAAGGCAAATAAATATTTTAAAAATGGAAGCAAGAAATGCACAATTCCTCAAATACAGCGGTTCTGTTCCTTTTTTTTACGGCAGAATGGCTCTATTGCCATCACACGAGGCTTAGTGAGCTGTGTCAGCTCCTTCCCCACTGATTCGAAATGCCATGTTTTTACACTAAGTCCCCTCAGACTCTAGTCCCAAGTCACTCCCGATTCCGACAGCTGCGCTCCTGTTAACAGACTGGTCCGCGATGGAGCCTGGCTGTCCTGACCACACCTAACTGTAACTTCTGAGACACCAGGATGACATCAGTGGGTCAAAATATCAGCTTTTCAGCAACCTGACAGAATTCTTATTTTTCACTAATAGCTTCTGAATGTAACCATTTGAGTTTTCCAGTATCCTGAACAAATATTAATGCTTTCCCTAGAGTCCTAACTCTTAACCTTGTCTTTTAGTTGCACTGGCTAATATTTGTAACACAATGTTCAGTAACAATTCCATCAGTAATAGTAACTATTCTAATAGTGGGCACTTTGTAAAGACTTACATAGTTTTTACGATTTATTTATTTGAGGGACTGGTGCAATGGCTCAATTGGCTAATTCTCTGCCTACAAGAGCTGGCATCCCAAAAGGGCACTGGATCAGGTCCCGGCTGCTCTACTTCTGATCCAGCTCTCTGCTTGTGGCCTGGAAAAGCAGCAAATGGCCCAAAACCTTGGGACCCTGCTCAAAAGAAGCTCCTGTCATCTGACATTGGATCAGATTAGCCCCAGCCGTTGCAACCATTTGGGGAGTGAACCAGCAGCTCAAGGATCTTTCTGTCTCTCCTCTCTGTAAATCCACCTTAACAACAAAAATAAAGCTAAACCTAAAAAAAAAAAAAAGATTTCTTTACTTGAAAGGCACAGAGGCAGTGAGGAAGACATTCCATTTGCTGGTTCATTTCTCAAATACCTGCAGCAGCTAAAGCATGGTCAGGCCAAAGCCAGCAGCTTGGAACTGCATCCAGGTATCTGCCACACAGGGCCGACTTCAGGATTTGGCCCAGCATACACTGCCTTCCCAGGGTGCACCTTGGCAGGAAGCTGGATGGGATACAAAGGGACAAGAACGGGCACTCTGATACAGGCTGCAGCCGGCCCCGGTCCGGCCCAGGTCGCAGCTCATCCTGCTGCACCATTAAGCCCTCTGGCATTCCCAAGTTTAGAGAAACGTCTCCAGGAATTCACAATGAAGCGGGATGGCAACTATTGGTAGATGTGCCTGTACTGCTCCAGCAATGAACGAACAAATTAGGAATGGACAATGGCTCTCAGCAAACACTGAACTGTTCAAAGGCGATCATATGACCTGGCTTCTTAATATTTCTGAACTACAAGTTAGATTTTTTAACAACGAATTAAGACAATAATTGATTCTTTTTTTTTTTTTTTTTTTTTTTGCAAAACATTACTGTGCTATTTGGGATTTTTGCTCACTACTCATAAGACTGTGTGCACGTGTGTGTGTGTACTTTAATGCTTTTTCATTTTACAATAAGCAGGACAGTTAACTTTATTCTTGTGGGAAATGATTTAACATTAACTTATCTATTTCTTCAAAGCCTGAGTAATCCCACAATCAAGCCAAGTGCTTCTTTTCTCTTCCGGTAGGATGCAGGAAAGCAGTCAGCCATGAGACGTTTCTTTTCTTTTAGCAAAGCTTATTCAGACTTTCCACACTAGGACAATCGCTGACTTAATTCAAATTCTATTAGGTAAATAATTCTCTGACAACCCTAGTACTTTATATTAGCTGCCTATTCTCATTTTCAAATTGTGCGATGTAATTTGAAGGTGACAGAGCCAAATTACTGGAACCAGACTACAACTATTAAAACTGAGTGATACTTCATTTGTAAGAAATGATGTTTTCATGAACTCAGGAAGGCGTCCTTGATAGTTCCAGCTACAATTCAAGGAGAGGGCACTTAACCTGGCAGGAAAGATGCTGGGTCTGACTCCCTGCTCCAGTTCCTGGTCCCAGCTTCCTCTGCCCAGGGGGTTTGTGGAAGGCGATGCTGACACCTCAAGTAGCTAGATTTCTGTCACCCGAGTGGGAGATCTGGCCATGGCTTCTACCTTCAGTAGTCCCCAGGCCCTACAGGGGGCATTTGGGGAGCAAACCAGCAGATAAGAGCTATCCGGCGAGAAGCAAGCATTCAGCCTGGTAATAAAGGCACCAGCATCCCATTCTGCAGTGCTTGCGTTCGGTTCCTGCTGCTGTTAAACCCAGGGAAGTGGCAGCGATGGCTTAGGTCACTGGGCTCCTGTCACCCACGGGGAGATCTGAATTGAGTTTCTGACTCCCAGTCCTGGCCCAGCAGTCAACATTTTGGGAATGTACAAACACAAGGGAGTTCAGGGTCTGCACCTCTCAGATAAACAGAACCATGTTAAAAGCAAACCATTTACAACACAGCTCAAGCTGTGCGGCACGGGGATCTTACAGACCCAGGCAACACCCTGTGGAGGAGCCACCACAGCGGAGGAGAGACCTGCCCCAGGAAGGGGGACCCAGGCCCAACACAGGTGTACCCAGCTGACAGCCTGGGGCTGGGAAATGGGCTTTTGTAAGTGAAACTTTTCACAAGGCACGGATAGTCAATACGCGTTAGACAGCAGCAGCAAAGTTTTCGTTTTAAAGGATGGTTAATAGCTCCAACAAGAAAAACAGGTATGTTGCTTAGTTCTCTGTGAATTTCAGTAATGTCACACTTAGAAAAAGTTACCTTCTCCTGTCTTTTCTCAAAAGAGGATTTAACTTCCTCTGAATCCTTTTTTATATTTAGAACATCTGCATCTTCAGTCTCCTCATCATCTGGCAAAGCAAATGTCACTTTCTTTGAAATTTGTTTTTGTTTACTGTCTTCACTTTCAAGGTCATTATCTTCATCTCTGCAACACCAAAAAAAAAATATGAAAATACATTTTCTCTTAGGAAAACAAGTCCCAATAACAAATGTCTCCCCCACCCCAAATTTTTTTTTCAGTATTGTATTCAGCTATGTGTAAAGCAACAAAATATTCAGAACTTCCAAAGACTGTTATCAAAGAACAGATTTACTTAAGTGAAATGAATGCTATATAAACTATATAAGAAATAAAATAGGGCTGGCATTGTGGTATAGTGGGCAAAACTGACAATTTCAATGCCAGCATCAGCCATGGGCAATGGTTCATTTCCTGGCTGCTTCACTTGTTTTTTTTTTTTTTTTTTTCAAAGATTTATTTTTTTATTGGGAAGGCAGATATACAGAGAGGAGAGACAGAGATCTCTCCCCAAACGGCCACAATGGCTAGAACCGAGCCAATCTGAAGTCAGGAGCCTCTTACAGGTCTCCCATGCGCGTGCAGGGTCCCAAGGCGTTGGGCCGTCCTCAACTGCTTTCCCAGGTCACAGGCAGGGAGCTGGATGGGAAGCGGGGCCGCTGGGATTAGAACCGGCGCCCATAAGGGATCCCAGCACGTTCAAGGCGAGGACCTTAACCACTACACTATCATGCCAGGCCGGCTGCTTCACTTTCAGTCAAGCTCCCCTGATGGCTGGGGAAAGCAGTGGAAATTGGCTCAATTATCTGGGCCCACGCGATCCATGTGAGAGGCCCCAATGAAGCTCCTGACTTTGGTCTAGCCCTGCAGTGGCTACCGCAGCCATCTGGGGAATGAACCAGTGGAGGGAAGATCTTTTTCTCAGTAACTCTTCTAAATACATAAATAAATCTTAAAAGAAAAAAAGAAAAGGTGTCTAAATACATAGAAATAAATTATATGTCAGCATATAAAACAAACTTCTTGTTACAAGGAAGGGCCCAGTTTGATGGCTATAGCTAAATCCTCGCCTTGCAAGAGCCAGGATCCCATATGGGCACTGGTTTGTGTGCCAGCTGTTCCACATCCCATCCAGCATCCTGTCAGTGGCCTGGGAAAGCAGGAAAGGACTGCCCAACGCCTTGGGACCCTGCACTCGCATGGGAGATCCAGGAAAGACTCCTGGCTGAAGGCTGGCTCAGCTCTGGGCGTTACAGCCACTTGTGGAGTAAACCCATGGATGGAAAATCTTTCTGTCTCTCCTGTCCGTAAATCTGCTTCCCCACTCCCCCCCCCCAAAAGTAGTTATTGGCAAAAGAAAATTCAAAGCTCCCTGTAATACGTTTAGCTGCTCCTGCCAATGATATTATAGTTCTCATTATATCCTTCAACTTTAGATTTTGTTCTGGCTATCTCGAGACCACCTAATATTAGAGATTGTATTTGATCTTAGCTGGCCTAATGTATGTATGTCACATGCAAAAAGGGGCAATTCCTGTTTACCAGTTCAAGAGTAAGTCGAAATACTCACGTATCAGAAATGCTTCCTTCTGCCGCGTCCTCCTCAGCAGTTTCTTCCTCGTCTCCGTTGGAATCCAGCTCCTCACCCTCGGTACTCGCTGCCTCTTCATCACTTTCAACCGGATCAAAGAAATCCTTGTATTTCAGGTTTCTGGAACTTTTAGCTGACTAAAATACAGATTTTTTTTAAAAAATCACTTACTGAAAGAACACATTAAGACACGCATGCAAGTGTATGCATGTTGTACAGTTTGCTCATGTGGATGCTTCAAAGCAAGAACAGTGATTTAACGGGCAGTACCGCTTTCCTAAAAGCCATCAGGTCCAGACTATAACAAACCTGATGTAAGCAGCGAGACCGAGGCCGGAGGCCGGGTCTGTACACGTCTATGCACGGTCACTTCCGAACACTCCTGCCTAAGGCTCCGAACGCCTTCCTTTCCGCTCAGTGCTTTGTGAAATGAAGAAAAGCCCTGAGTGTTTCTGAAGGGTGATTATGAATCTGAAGCTATATCACAAGAAAGTGTCGCGCTAGGGCAGGATGACTCCAGCTTAACTTTTTTTTCTCAACTAAACAAAATATTTCACTTGTGCCCAGAAGGGTTTTGAGGTGGTTTAAAGCTCTTCCAAGGAAAAACAATAGCCGAGCTGACGAGGAAGCCGGCCCCTCTCCCGTCCCAGAAGTTTACCTTCGGTTTCTGATTTCCAAACAGCCCTCCCTCATCTTCGTCAGAATCTATATCTTCAAAAAGGTCAATATCATCTTCCTCCTCGTCATTTTCCTTGTCATTCTGCTGTTCTTGTTTTTCCATGTTTTCTAGAAAAGTCTCCATTTCGGACAGTTTGAAGAACTTATCGTCCACTACGGACTTCTCTCGTGGCTTCCCGGGCGCCTGGCTCGGCCCCTTGCTCTGTGGTGCCAGCCTGCTGGGCGGCACCCTGCTCTGCCGCTCCAGCTTGCCGATATCAAAGTCCAGATCCGAATCCTCATCGCTGAACGCGGGGCTTTTCCGGTCACTTCTGCCTGAGTCCTGCACATCCTCCTCTCCTTCAGAACCGCCAGCGCCCAGGCCGGACATTTCCTCCTCCTCGGAATCTGGCTCGGCCTCCTCTTGGCCTCCAGCCCCAACTTCCATGTCCGAGCCTTCCTCCTCCTCCTCCTCCTCGCGCTCCTGGTCTCCACGCTCTGGCAAGAGGCTGATGTCCTCATCTTCTGCCAACTCACCGACAGCATCGTGGAAGTACTGGAGGACCGGCTCATTCTGCAGCTCCAGCTGTTGCCAGATTTGCTCGTCGTCGAAATTGCTTACCCCGAGTTTCTGCAAAGGACTGCCATCGATTCTCCCCTTCTCTAACACCTTATTGAAGTCGTAGAGTACTTTCGTTAAAGAAATAAAGCTGGATGCCAGTTCATCCTGAGTCCTATTGACGGAAGACATAATTAAATGAAAGCTAGAAATACAGGCAGTTGTTTTGTAGTACTCTTAGAAGAAAAATAAAGAAAACTCTTGGGCACAATCTAATTTGAATGCATGTCAATTTTAGGTACGGATCCGGGCCACCACCAGCGCAGCATCCCTCCGGGTTGGGAGGAGCAGTTGTGGAAGTGACAATAAACTGAGACAGAATGAGGTGTAGAATATAGAGGTAAAAAAAAAAAAAAAAAAAAAAAATGAAGCTCCCCTCCACACACAGCCTAGGGGCAGGTCGCCCAGCACCATTTGTGAGATGCAGGAGGCCAGAACCCAGGAAGGTAGTGGTGAGGGTCCTGCTTGGGCCCCAGCGCACCCCAGATGCTGAGGGAACAGGGTGGTCAGGGCGGGTGCCAGTCCATTCTCTTTCAATGAAGCACCAGGACAGGGGAGCACGGGGTGCTCCTGGGCACATGGGGGGAGCACCAGGACAGGGGAGCACGGGGTGCTCCTGGGCACATGGGGGGAGCACCAGGACAGGGGAGCGCGGGGTGCTCCTGGGCACATGGGGGGAGCACCAGGACAGGGGAGCGCGGGGTGCTCCTGGGCACATGGGGGGAGCACCAGCACAGGGGAGCACGGGGTGCTCCTGGGCACATGGGGGGAGCACCAGCACAGGGGAGCACGGGGTGCTCCTGGGCACATGGGGGGAGCACCAGCACAGGGGAGCACGGGGTGCTCCTGGGCACATGGGGGGAGCACCAGCACAGGGGAGCACGGGGTGCTTCTGGGGCCCACGGGAGGAGTGCAACCGCGACAGGTGTGTGGCCAGCCTCAAAGAGGCCTCTGGACTCTAGCAAGCTAGCTGGGTTTGAGACCAACGCCGCACAACTGAAGATCCACGCCCGACGGCGCCCCGGACACGCTAGGGCTGAGTACAAACTGACCCACACTGTCCCTCCGCTCCGCTCGAGTTCTCCGGGGGCCCCATGCACTTACGTGAGGAAGCTCTCCGGCCGCCGAGTGGCCTCGTTGACCTGCTGCAGACACCGTTGCAGGAGCCGCCGCCGCCAGGCCCGCGGAGACATGGCCAAGTCCCGGCGCGGCGCCGCGTGTGGGACCCGAACAGGACCTACCCGGAAGCCGCGCGGGAAACCCGTGCCTCGCGCAAGCCGGAGCAGAGCCGAAGGTTCCGCCGCACACAAGTTCCCTGAGCCAATGGCAGAGTTCGCACTTGCTCTGGAAGGCGGGGCGGGAAACCGAAGATGGTCGCAAGTCTGCTCCCTTGGAACTTTCTCCGGACCTCGTGGCAAGGGGCCACGCGTCGTGGTTTACGTTTCTGCTTTAGAAGCAATGGGTCTCCTCAACGAGGCAGGCTCCTAGCCCTGTTGGGGGACCCCGCCCCCAACGCCTCTGTCCCCGCCCCAGCCGGGTGGCTCCGCCCCCAACGCCTCTGTCCCTGCCCCAGCCGGATGGCCCCGCCCCTACCGGGTGGCCCCGCCCCTGCCGGGTGGCTCCGCCCCCAACGCCTCTGTCCCTGCCCCAGCCGGATGGCCCCGCCCCTGCCGGGTGGCTCCGCCCCCAACGCCTCTGGCCCCGCCCCAGCCGGGTGGCCCCGCCCCTGCCAGCCCACCGATTTAGCTGGTCGCTTCCCAAGATGGCGCGCGCACTGGCGGCGGGGGCTGCGAACGCCAGAGGTGATGACGGGGCGCTGTCCTGGTGCGCTGTGGGGCGGGCGCGCGGACGAGGGCCATGGGGTCCGAAAGGCCGTGGTGGGGGGTGTGGACGGCACGTCGCTGGAATGCGCTCACCCCTCCCGACCCCGGCGTCCCTCAGACACCCCTCAGCTCGGTAGCCGGGTTTCCTCAGCGCTGCGCGCTGCCCGGGTTTGCCCCTTTTTGTGTTCCGGCCAGAGAGGCCAGGGTGGCCAGGCGAGGCAGGGATAGAAACCCAAGTCCCTTGGCAGCCTCTGTCCTTCCTGCTGGTCGCGGCCTGGGGTCAGCGCAGGAAAGAATTCCAAACTCTGTTTCCCCCGCGCTCTAGCCGTCATGTGCTACAGAAACGAGCCAGGACGAGCAGCCGGCTTGGGAGACGTCCTGGTGGTCCCTCCGCCTCCGTTTTTAAAATTACTTTGTAATGGCTGCCGGCTCCCGTTTTCTCACTCTCGTTGTGCCTTCCTTTCTCACGAGGACAAGTGTTGATGTGAGAGCCACTGTTCGGACGAAAGTGCCAAGCAGTTAAGAACCCACGCGTGGCTCCCGGCGAGGTGTGATAAATCCTTCTGCTAGCACCTGCAGGTGTCCAGGGGCCTGAGTGGGGTTGGCGCCCTCCGTGTCCCACACTGCTCTCAGGCCTTGGAAGTCCGGTCCCCTGGGCTTATCTCTGTAGTCTGTACCACCAGTCACTCCGTTCCTAGTCCCCAGGGTTAAGGGGTCAGGCACCTGCAGAGGGAGGTGTCCCAGCACTCAGATGTGAGAGGTGCTAATAGGTCCACCTGGAAGTTGTGGTCACAGCTGCAGCCCAGCGGCTCCAATGCAGTGCTTATAATCACACACTACCAGCCCTAACCTTTCTGCCCTTGGTACCTTAATTCCCACACTATAGTGTTAGGTTTGTGTTTTTACCACACAACGCCTGAGGTGAAAGGGAAGGCCGATTCAGCTCACACAGCTAAGGTCAAGCCCAGACGCTCCGGGCCCAAAAGTGGTTTATTCTTTGCACCCTTGCTTTTTCCTTTATTATTATTATTTTTTTAATATTTACTTGTTTTGATCAGAAAGTCAAATATCCAGAGAGGAAGAGAAAGAGAGGAAGATATTCTGTCCACTGATTCACTCCTCAAGTAGTCGCAGTAGCTGGAGCTGAGCCAATCAGAAGCCAGGAGCCAGAAGCCTCTTCCAGGTCTCCCACATGGGCGCAGGGTCCCAAGGAGGCCATAAGCAGAGAGCTGGATGGGAAGCAGGGCCTCCAGGATACGAATTGGCACCCAGATGGGATCCCAGTGCGTGCAAGGCGAGGACTTCAGCCACTATGTTACTGCGCTGGACCTGCACTCTTGCTTTATTTAACCTACTGTTTTAAAAAACAGCCTGCATTTATTCGCACAGTTATACATTGCAGTTTATTTATGCAGTGTAACTTATTTGAAGAATCACAAATTATACAGTAAGAGTTCAAAATAATGCAGTTCTCCTGCAGCCTTTTATGATGTGGCGGGAGTTGGGAACACAGAAACTTGGACCTAAAGAGTTTCGGTTCTTACAGGTGGTAGACAATCTGAAAGTAAAGTAACTTTAAGAAGGGTGGAGGTGGACGGCGTGTGTGACCATTAAACCCCCTTCGGGTCAGCCGCATCCCACACTGGAGAGCTCGGGATGGAGCCTCCTGCTAGTTCATACCGTCTTAGGAGGCAGCAGGTGTAGCATCCCTGCAGCCCACACAGGCCAGCTGAAGAGCCACGTTCCTGCCTGGATCTGGCCTAGCCTGGCTGTTGGTGCAGTTAGGCTGTGAATCTCCGTCTCTCAAATACAATGAAAGTTAATTTTCAAAAATTAGCATGTTTGTGGGTAATCATGTCACAATGTGTGTGCGCATCAGAACATCACCTTGGGAGCAGGTGATTAGGCTCGGGGTTGAGATGCCTGTATCCCATGTCAGAACTCTGTTAGTGTGGCTGTCCACTCCAGACTTCAGCTTCCCGCTGGTTTACACCCTGGGAGACAAATGGTGGTGACCACCTGCCCCTGGCTGGGAGATCTGGGGGGTTCCTGCTCTCGTCCCCTGCCCTGGCCCGGCCTCAGCAGCACTGTCAGCGTTCGGAGGGTGAACCAGCGCATGTCAGTGTGTTCTGCCTCTCTGCCTCCCCACCCCATCATTTGTGTACCATAAATATGTACAGTTTCTGTTGTCAGTTGTACCTCAAGAGAACTAGAAAGTAAAAAAAAAAATAAATAAATAAACCTTCAAAAGTTGCTAAGAGTAAAAGCAAAGTCTAAAGTTCATGCCCATTATTTATGTGTCTATAAGGCTCTGCTGTTCCATGTTGCCCACACCGTTTGCTTGGTCTGCAGTATTTCCTCCAGGGTTGCTTCTGTGATTTCCCTTCTCCAGCTTTCTTTTTTTTTTTTTTCCATAGCAAAATTTACACATCAAGTTAATCATTCAAAAATGGACACAGTGTACAGCTTGGCAACATTTATTGTATTCACCTTGTTGAGTAACCGTCATTTTACTTGATTTCAAAACACTTGGGTCACCTCCAAGGGATTGCTGTGCATGCTGATGGTCACTCCCCATTCCCTCCTGCCTGCAGATCCGTGCTCTCCCCATGGATTGATCTCATTTGATATTGCATTTAAATGAGAGCATACTATAAATATCCTTTGTTTAAAAAAAGATTTATTTATTTTTATTGCGAAGTCAGATACATAGAGAGAAGAGACAGAGAGGAAGATCTTTCATCTGATGATTCACTCCCCAAATGACTGCAACGGCCAGAGCTGCACCGATCTGAAGCCAGGAGCTTCTTCCGGGTCTCTCACGTGGGTGCAGGGTCCCAAGGTTTTGGATCGTCCTCGACTGCCTTCCCAGGCCACAAGTGGGGAGCTGGCTGGGAAGCGGGGCAGCCGGGACTAGAACTGGCACCCATATGGGATTCTGGTCTATTCAAAACGAGGACTTTAGCTGCTAGGCCTCCGTGCTGGGCCCTGTAAATGTCCCTTTAATCCTGGTCTGTCAGTGTTTTTGAGGTTCATTGTCCTCATCAGGTGTGTTGGCACTTTAGATGATATTCCAGTGTTTAGCTTGGGGAATGCTGCTTTGCACATTAGTGTACAAGTGTTTGTTTTGAATTTCTACATTCCATTATTTTGGATACTCAGGAGTGGATTCCTAGGTTGTAGGATCTTCTGTTTTGATTCTGAGGAACTGGCAAGCTGCTCCTTGGCTGTTGTACCATGCTAGATTCTCAGCAGCCACACGCAGCATTGCAGTTCCTCGCATCTTCAATGCTTGTTGATACTTGCTTCCTTGATTTCGGTCGACTTGGTGGCTGTGGAGTTCCACCTCACTGTGACTTTGGTTTGCTTTCCCCGGTGACTGAGGCTGAAGATCTTCTGTGCTTGTTAACCATCGTCATGTGCTTGTCCCTTCATTTTAAAGAACCTAATTATTGAAATTTTATTAATGTCACTATCTTTTTTTCCTGTCCTATTCCTAAAATGCATGCTTTAAGGACCATACGATACCAGTTAAAAGCTGTATGTCTTTGCCAAGCCAGTTCCATTGTATAGAGATTAGATAAACTTATACAGCCTCAAAGACTTAATTTTTACAATATGGTGCTGTTACTGAAGCTGGTGAAACTGCCGTCTACCAACAAAGGCATTCCCTATGGGCACTGGTTTGTGTCATGGCTTCTCCACTTGCAATCCAGCTCCAAGCTAATGGCCTGGGAAAAACCAGCAGAAGATGACCCACGTGTTTGGACCCCTGCCACACGCCGTGGGTGACCCCGAAGAAGCTCCAGCTCCTGGCTTCAGCTTGGTGTAGCCCAGGCCATTAGAACCATCTGCCTCCATTTCTCTCTGGGATTCTTTCAAATAATTACACCCCACCCCACCCCTTTTTTTTTTTTAAATATGCTGTTATCTTTCTGTATTTCTAACATATGTAGGAGATTTTGTTTCCACTTAAAAAGAAGAAAGAACCCACAATTGTATTACAATTTTTCCTCTTAGAACCAAATGATAAGAAAGTTACAAAAAAGACTGCAGAGCGGCGTGGACTTCCTTTGCCATGCAGTTTCTGGATAGTCCCCAAGGGCAGCTGCTCCGGACTGAGACCTCCCCTTCAGGCGGCTTGGACGTTTCTGCGTCCTTGCTGGTAAATAGGATACTGTCACCTGCCCCATCCCTTGTGAAAGTGGTTGTACATAGGGAAATGCAGAAACACCTGAACTCAGTATTTGGCATACATTTTTAAAAATATATTTTTTATTTTATTTAAAAGCAGAGAGGCAGAGAGATATCTTCTGTCTGCTGGCTTATTCCCCAAAAGACCACAGCAGGCAGGCGTGGCCAGAGCCCAGAACTCCATTCAGGATTCCTGCGTGACTGCCAGGGACCCAACAACTTAAGCTGTCACCTGTGCCTCCCCGAATGCGTGTTAGGAGGAAGTCAGATGAGAGGCCAACGTGAGACTCAGCCAGATACTACAGTAAGGAATGTGGACATCCCAAGTAGCAAATTAACGACTATACCTCCAAAACAACTTCTTAATACGCGTATTACCCTAAATTTACTTATTTGGTTGAACTACAGTTGTTTGCTTAGTAAAAATGCTTTGTACAGGCCTGGTGCGGTAGCCTAGCTGCTAAAGTCCACTCCTTTCATGCAACGAGATCCCATATGGGCACCGGTTCTAGTTCTGGCGGCCCTGCTTCCCATCTGTGGCCTGGGAAAGCAGTCGAGGACAGCCCAAAACCTTGGGACCCTGCACCGACGTGAGAGACCTGGAAGAGGCTCCTGGCTTCGGATCAGCTTAGTTCCAGCTGTTGCGGCTGTTTTGGGAGTGAATCAGAGGATGGAAGATTTCCTCTCTGTCTCTTCTCTCTGTATATCTGACTTTCCAATAGAAGTAAATAATACAATAAATGCTTTGTACGTTGAGCTGTCATTGGCAGATTGTCGGTGCGGTAGAGATGGGGGAGAAGCAAAGGGAAGAGCATTTGAGCAGTGCTTTTTCCTGGGTGTCAGCACTGCCCAGTCCTCGCGACCTTGTTGCTTGGTCTCCCACATAATCCTGTGCCATGTCTCCTGCAGTCATTGTGTGTCATTAACATAGAATGGTTTTACCGACTGTATTTGTCTGGCAATATACATTCTGGATGTATCTAGCACCTTATTATGGCCTTTGTACCAACTCTCCAACCTTCATAACAAGCAATTTAGGTATTTAATGGGTCTTACCAGTATTTTTTAAAACAAATATAATAGGATATAAAATGTTAGAGTACAGCACATCTGGCAAGGATTAGGCATTATTTTTATGAAACTTAGTAGTTCAGTTATACATTTAAATATGTTCTGATTTGAGATGCACTTGAACTTTATAATATCCAGTGAGCCTGCAGAACTGAGCCTTGTTAATTTAGTGTTATAAGGAACTTTTGGTTATTTCATTAATGGATGGAGCATAGCCAAAGGTCACCTTAGGCTGAACTTTTGCCTTCTACTGACGTCTGACACATCAGATTTATGGTTTTAAGTAAAACAAAATAGTGTCACTTCACTTTCCTTGCTGTGGTAGTTAGGGACTTCGGCTTGGTAGCTGAAGCTCTGTGGGTCCTGTGCTGAGTGATTTTTGGTAAGAGCTAACTGGGCACGGGTTAGGCTCGTCATTTCCTGTCTCACTAAGTGGTGTGTAGTTTCACAACTTTGGATTTAGATCTCTTAGCACTCTCTCATACTTGGGATAATGTGGCTCTTCCGGCACAGCGGACAGTTCAGCACGAAAGGGCCTCTTCACACTGCTTAGTGGTTCTGTCTCAAACCTTCTAGTAATATAAAAACAAACAGAAAATCGGGCTCAGAGGAAATCCTCCCAAATTAAGTACTCTTGAGCTTTGCTTTATTTTTTCCTCAGTTGATAATCAGTCATGTAAAATATACATTAAAAAGTACTATACAGTTAAGGCTTTCATGAATGGAATAGAAGACAAAGATTCGAAATAGCTAAGGAAAGAAATTGCTTGCTTGCTGTAATCATTAAAGTGTTTCACGGTTACAAACTCATCCCCCGTGAAATACAAAGATTTGTAAGTAATTCTCAATATGTCAGTGTCCTTTATACCTACCAGCAAATAAACATTATTATGACAAATGTTATTCTTTGTTTTGAATCTCGTTGAAGCTCTGAATTAGCTTTTCAATTTGTTATGTAAATGAGTAGAGCCCAATGAGTAATTTTCACACAAGTTTTTGCATTTATCTTCTCTGATTTATTTTCAGTAATTAAAAACAAAATAAAGAATGAATTTCTACATGTATTCTTTGGTGTTTGAAATTTTATTTGGAAAGGCATTAATTCATGAAAAGAGGATAAGTGTCTGTTTAATTTTCTAGGCTTATTTTCCAGACTGCAAACTCCGCTCCCAGCACAAAGAGCTTTCTCCACATCACAGCCTTCCCATGGAGTGGCAGGTCCCGTGTGGAACCTGGGTCGGCTCAATCACGTGGCCATCGCAGTACCAGATCTGGAAAAGGCCACGGCCTTTTACAAGAACGTTCTGGGGGCCCAAGTCAGCGAAACGGTCCCGCTTCCCGATCACGGAGTGTCTGTTGTTTTTGTCAACCTGGGAAACACCAAGATGGAACTGCTCCATCCTCTGGGAAGTGACAGTCCGATTGCAGGATTTCTTCAGAAAAACAAGGCTGGCGGGATGCACCACGTCTGCATTGAGGTATTCCTATTTTAAGTCTCTTACCGAATGCTTTGTCTTGTTTAAAGCTGTGCCATAGTCTTCCTTAAGATAATGTTATTTCTACTCAAAGATAAATAATTTTAATATCATATTAAAATCAAGACTTAAAAGCTACTGTCAAGCTTAGCAAAGTTGGCCAAAGTGTTGAGTCTTTGCTCTTGGGTGTTTATCGTGTATGTCTCATGCAATGAGAATACACCTGCTTTCATCACAAAGCAAACAGGAGAAGTAAAAAGACCATATAAAGTAAGAATTTCCATCCATGTGCCAAGTGTTCTTGTAATTATTTGCTGTCCTTTACATTCTGCATTTTTCTTATTACAAAAGTAATACATTTTTTCAATTACTGTGATAATTAAGATTTTCTGAGTTGCATCAGCTAACAATTCTTTTAAAAAAAGGAATATTAGACAAGAACATTTTCATTACAGAACATTTATCTATAATTGTTCATGTTGCAATAACTGCCTTTTAGAATCTGAGCAACACCAATTATGCTTCTGTTTAAATTAATCTGATAGAACAACCCTTTTAGAAACAATGACATAATTAATAGTTAGGACTTGTTCCAGATCCGGGAAAAAGATAGGCTGGTCCTAAAGTGAATTCAAGGGTTCCTTGTGCAAACATTTGTGAGGCCCTGCGGTGGGTACTGAGTGCTTTGAATTCAGCAATGACTAAGACATGTGCCGGGTCCACAGTGAGAGGGGCAAGTGCAGTAGACTTGGTAAGTGACATTACGGTCTGTGTCATCTGAGCGGCACGAGTGAGAAAGACGTTGATTGCTTTCGGCAGGTGGAGGGGCCAGGAAGTTGTCATAGACCTTGAGTTGTGATGAGTGTGGAGAGTTCCCGTGAACAGCTGGAGAACAGCATCTGCCAGGGCATCAGTGACCCCACCAGCATTGAGGAGTCCTGGCAGCACTGAAGCTCTGGACCTGCGCTATTTTCTTTAATTCTTATTCTTACTCCTGCGAGGCTGCCACTGACCTGATCGCCCAGGTGAGGAAACTGAGTCTCAGGGTCAACTTGCCCATAGCCACGTCAGGTGTAGGTGGTAAGGCTGGAGTTGCAGCCACCTGTGTTCTGAATCTACAGTCTGTACCCTTTAAAAAAAAAAAAAAACCATAAAGATTAAAAAAAAAAATTCATTAGGAAGTCAGGTTTACAGAGTGAAGGAGAGACAGAAAGATCGTCTTTCCTCTGGTTGACTCTCCAAGGAGCCCCAGTGGCCAGAGCTAAGCCTGTATGAGGCCAGGAGCATGAAGTTTCTTCTGGATCTCCCACACAAGTGCTGGGGCCCCAAAGCTTTGGGCCGTCCTCGACTGCTTTCCCAGGCCACAGGCAGAGAGCTGGTTGGAGAGTGGGGCTGCTGGGATATAAACCAGCACCCATATGGGATCCCAGGCATGCAAGGTGAGGACTCTAGCCACTAGGCTACTGTGCCGGGCCCTAGGTTGTATACTCGTAACCCTGAGATCACTTGTTTTCGTTTGAGGCAAGAGTGGCTGACAGTGGGTTCCATCAGCATCCTGTATGAGTACCAGCTTGGATCCTAGCTGTTCCAGTCGCAGTCCAGCTCCTTGCTAATGTGCCAGAGCAAGCAGCAGAAGATGGCCCATGTCTTGGCACCTGCCACCCACATAGGAGTTCCAGGCTCCGAGATGGAGTCCCAGTCTCTTGGCTTTTCCTGGCCTAACCATGGTTGTTGTGGCCATTTGAGCAGTGAACCAGCAGCAGAAGGTCTGTCTCCCTTTCTCGCTCCCTCTTTCTCTGTCACTCTGCCTTTCAAATAAATAATAATTTGTAAAAAAAAATACAGAAAGAAAAAGTAGCAGCAGCACAGGATATTACAGCAAGAAATTAATGCTGAGTAACTTAGCGATTTATTTCATTTTTAGGAAGTTCCTCTTGATTGTAGGTCTGTATTGGTAGACTCCAGGGTTGTCTGAGCACCCCCAGGATGAGAAACAAGACCACCTGCCTTTGAATCCACTGTTCTCGCTCACACCTCACTGTCTGGGTTCAGCATCAAGAGAGCCCTTCAAAGGAAGCTGGCTCTGGGAGTTAGGAGTTCAGTGAAGTAAAGCAGAGTGGAAGTTCAGTAGCATATCAGCAAATTCAAAAGTAGAAATCCAAGGAAGGAAACGAACATGTATGTGAGTATAAAATGAAGGCAGGTCATAGTTTAGCCTAGACTAGATTGATTAGTAGAACTTGGGTGCAGTGTTGCCTTCCACAAGTACAAAAAGTGTAGGTATAGGTAGAAAGGGTTTGCTGTTGTTTCAGTTACCAGTGCCCAGTGGGGACGGCATGCGTTTCATTTGCTCAGGATATGTAGATCAGGATGCAGGGGCAAGTGCTCACAGGACAGTTCCTGCTGGGGTTTCTCCTGTGATTAGGGGTCCCCCATGCAGTTAGACATCAGTACCACTGTACTCATTGGAAGGCCCTGCTGGGCTGAGCGTCCAGACACCTCACTTCCACAGCTGGTAGGCAGTGCCGGCTGACAGCTGGGGCCAGCACCTGTGTGGCAGTGCCACAGCCCTGAGAGCTAAAGGGATTCTGGGGGTGCTTGAAATTTGTTTCCCAGACCCAGGCAAGGTGCTGGCCTCTCCCAGCCTCCTTCGGGAAGAGCCACAGCAGCATGTCTGCTATCTGAGAGTCATAAATAAGCCTTAAGGGCAGGCAAGAGGAAGATACAATCCTGGCTCCTTTTAGTTCTTCTTCTTCTTCTTCTTCTTTTTTTTTTTTTTTAACTTATAATGTATCTATTTGTTGTAATGTAGGACAAAGAGAGATGAAAATAGAGCTTTCATTCTCTGGTTCGCTACTCACATGCCTGCAGTGGGCAATGGCCAGGCTGAAGCTGGAAGCCAGAAATTTATTTATTTATTTTGAACGTAAGAATTGTAGAGAGAGATCTACTATCCACTGGTTCATTCCCCAGATGTCTTCAGTGCAAGGGCTGAAGCCAGGAGCTTCATCTGGGTTTGTCACATGGGTGTCAGGGGCCCAGACACTTTGCCATCCTCTGCTGCTTTTCTCTGGCCGTAAGCAGGGAGCTGGATCAGAAGTGGAGCAGCCGGGACAGGAGCCAGCGCCCATGTGGGATGCAGGCTTTACCTTCTACACCACAATGCCAGCTCCAAGATCCAGAAATTCAATCTGGGGCTCCATGTGTGTCAGGATCCCAAGTACTTAAACCAATAGTGCTCTCCCCAGCATGTACACTAGTAGGAAGCTGGAATCAAAAGAGCAGGTCTCAGAGCCCAGGCATTCCAGTGTGGGACACAGGCTGCTGGCCAGTGGCTGAACCCCTCAGCCATGTGCTTACCCAGACCCCACTTCTTCTGTTTTTGAAGTTTTATTTTTTCTTTTTATTGGAAAGGCAGATTTACAGAGAAAAGGAGATACACAGAGAAAGATCTGTCCTCTGGTTCACTCCACAAGTGGCCACAATGACTGGAGCTGAACCGATCCGAAGCCAGGAGCCAGGAGCTTCTTCCAGGTCTCCCACATGGATGCAGGATCCCAAGGCTTTGGGCCATTCTTGACTGCTTTCCCAGGCCATAAACAGAGAGCTAGCAGGGAAGTGGAGCATCCGGAACACGAACCGGCATCCATATGAGATATGGTACATGTAAGGTGAGGATTTAGCCACTGAGCCATCGTGCCAGACCTCAGATCCCACTGTTTGATGGGAAGAGTAGAGGAGAGCCTGGGGTTACATTTTATAAGCTATATAGCCATCATACATTAATATGTTCTAAACCAAAGGAAAGTTGTGAAGAAATCTAAAAAACACGAGAATGACGTAGTTTTAAATTCAGGTGGGGGTCTGCAGCATTCATGGTGAGGGGAGAGAACCTGCCTCTGATTTTGTGACGATAAGGAGACTCGAATGGTTGATGCTTGGTGATGCAGGGAGTGGGTATGCACTTCATCAAAAACCATCACTTCAGCTTCTCCTGTTTTGAACATCCAGTCAGAAACATATCCTCTCACAGCACTCTCAATTCTTTCATGGTTCTCTGCCATTTTTAAAATACCATTCTTGCTTTTACAACCTTTGTTCCAACCATTAGATAATCAACTTTTTGCTCTCTAATTATTGCAAGAGCCCTTCATGTTCTTTTTCACTGGCCCTCGTGTGAAACTTGAATAAGCAGTGTCCCAGTACCCCTTCCTGATATACAAGACTCGATTCCTTTTTTTTTTTTTTGCTTTTGCCTAAGGAGATGGCTATGGTAGCAGGTAGACCTGTGTTTATTTGAAAGGCAGATTTATACAAACAGGTTCAGAGAATGAGAGAGATTCTTCATCTGTTGGTTCACTCACCAAATGGTTACAGTGGTGTAGCTGAGCTGCACCCATGTTAGGAGCCAAGAGCTTCTTCACAGTCTTCCACGTGATCTCAGGGACCCAAGGATTGAATCATCCTTCTCTGCTTTCCCAGGCCAAAAACAGGGAGCTGGATCAGAAGTAGCGCAGCTGGGACACGAACCAGTGCTCATTCAGGATCCCAGCCCCACAGGTACGGGATTAGCCTTCCATGCGACTATACCTGCCTCTTCGCTAGATAATGTACCAGACAGAAAAGTTAAGCAACATATTTGTATCTGGGTTGTAAACCAATGTATCCATGCTGGTGGGTTAACAGTTACTGCTATAAAACTCCCTAGTAGTGTACCCATTCCAGAAAGACCTTTCCCTGGCACCCATAAGACACCCACTCCAACTCAACAACTAAAGGGTTAATGCTTGGCACATACAGTGTCCTCCAGGACAGGCTCCAGGATAAGTTCCTTTCCATGCTGTTTGGTTGTTACCTTTGTCAGTGTTTTTATGATTCTCCAGTAATTTTGGTAGGATCCTAACATTAATGGTACAAAGTTCGAGGTGTATGTAGCTAAGCAAAAGTACAAATCCTTGTCCTTCTGGAGGAAACCTCTGGCTTTGTCAATTTACAGATGCTCT